TATGTAATCTGTAGTGTGTCATCTGTGGTGTATGTAATCTGTGGTGTGTCATGTGTAGTGTATGTAATCTGTGGTGTATGTAATCTGTGGTGTATGTAATCTGCAGTGTATGTAATCTGTGGTGTATGTAATCTGTGGTGTATGTAATCTGTGGTGTATGTAATCTGCGGTGTTCTGTGGTGTATGTAATCTGTGGTGTATGTAATCTGCAGTGTATGTAATCTGTGGTGTATGTTATCTGTAGTGTATGTAATCTGTGGTGTATGTTATCTGTAGTGTGTCATGTGTAGTGTATGTAATCTGTGGTGTATGTAATCCGTGGTGTATGTAATCTGCAGTGTATGTAATCTGTGGTGTATGTAATCTGCAGTGTATGTAATCTGTGGTGTATGTAATCTGTGGTGTATGTAATCTGTAGTGTATGTAATCTGTGGTGTATGTAATCTGCAGTGTATGTAATCTGTGGTGTATGTAATCCGTGGTGTATGTAATCTGCAGTGTATGTAATCTGTGGTGTATGTAATCTGCAGTGTATGTGATCTGTGGTGTATGTAATCTGTGGTGTGTCATGTGTAGTGTATGTAATCTGTGGTGTATGTAATCTGTGGTGTATGTAATCTGTGGTGTATGTAATCTGCAGTGTATGTAATCTGTGGTGTATGTAATCTGTGGTGTATGTAATCTGTGGTGTATGTAATCTGCGGTGTTCTGTGGTGTATGTAATCTGTAGTGTATGTAATCTGTAGTGTATGTAATCTGTGGTGTATGTGTAGTGTAATCTGTGGTGTATGTAATCTGTAGTGTATGTAATCTGTATGTAATCTGTGGTGTGTCATGTGTAGTGTATGTAATCTGTGGTGTATGTAATCTGTGGTGTATGTAATCTGTAGTGTATGTAATCTGTAGTGTGTCATGTGTAGTGTATGTAATCTGTGGTGTATGTAATCCGTGGTGTATGTAATCTGCAGTGTATGTAATCTGTGGTGTATGTAATCTGCAGTGTATGTAATCTGTGGTGTATGTAATCTGTGGTGTATGTAATCTGTGGTGTATGTAATCTGTAGTGTATGTAATCTGTAGTGTATGTAATCTGTAGTGTGTCATGTGTAGTGTATGTAATCTGTGGTGTATGTAATCTGTGGTGTATGTAATCTGTAGTGTATGTAATCTGTAGTGTGTCATGTGTAGTGTATGTAATCTGTGGTGTATGTAATCCGTGGTGTATGTAATCTGCAGTGTATGTAATCTGTGGTGTATGTAATCTGCAGTGTATGTAATCTGTGGTGTATGTAATCTGTGGTGTATGTAATCTGTAGTGTATGTAATCTGTGGTGTATGTAATCTGCAGTGTATGTAATCTGTGGTGTATGTAATCCGTGGTGTATGTAATCTGCAGTGTATGTAATCTGTGGTGTATGTGATCTGCAGTGTATGTAATCTGTGGTGTATGTAATCTGCAGTGTATGTAATCTGTGGTGTATGTAATCTGCGGTGTATGTAATCTGTGGTGTATGTAATCTGCAGTGTATGTAATCTGGTGTATGTAATCTGTGGTGTGTCATGTGTAGTGTATGTAATCTGTGGTGTATGTAATCTGCAGTGTATGTAATCTGTGGTGTATGTGATCTGCAGTGTATGTAATCTGTGGTGTATGTTATCTGTAGTGTATGTAATCTGTGGTGTATGTAATCTGTGGTGTGTCATGTGTAGTGTATGTAATCTGTGGTGTATGTAATCCGTGGTGTATGTAATCTGCAGTGTATGTAATCTGTGGTGTATGTAATCTGCAGTGTATGTAATCTGTGGTGTATGTAATCTGTGGTGTATGTAATCTGTGGTGCATGTAATCTGTGGTGTATGTAATCTGTAGTGTATGTAATCTGTGGTGTTCTGTGGTGTATGTAATCTGTAGTGTATGTAATTGTAAGTGAATGTAATATAATGTATGTAAGCTGTACTGCATGTAATCTTCAGAGTATGTAGTGTATGTTATCTATGGTGTATTTAATCTGTAGTGTATGTAATCTGTGGTGTTCTGTGGTGTATGTAATCTGTGGTGTATGTAATCTGTGGTGTATTTAATCTGTAGTGTATGTAGCCTGTAGTGTATGTAATCTCTAGTGTGTCACCATAGTGCATGTAATCTGTAATGTATGTTATCTGGTGTACATGTAATGTTCAGAGTATATCGTGTATGTAATGTAGTGTAAGTGGTTTGTATTGTATGTAATCTGTAGTGTATGGAAAGTGTCAGTTTCACCCTTGTTCTCCCTTCTCATCTGTGATGTTTGTGTTTCAGTTGTCACCTCAATGAACAAGGTGTTGGAAGCGGTTGACGATGGTAAATTCGCAGCAGGAAAAAGTAAAACAGAACTATGATTACCACATGTAGTTGAGCATGGCAGTGTGCATGGTCCAGTATCTAGTTTAGGGGTACATCTTTAGCTGGACCTTGTACTCTCGTATATCACTTTAAATTTCAAACACATGTTTTCAATGAAAATATAAGGAATCCTTAGAGGTTTATATTTCAGAAACATTATTATGGCCACATAAAAAATAATGTGGTCGATAGAATAGATACCTATCTGATTGTACTCTTTGTAATCAACCATCATTCAGCTCTGTCCGACATTTGATAAACATTACACATAGAGTCAAACTGCTGTGGTTTGATAAAGGGAAGTTCATATATACTGAGGGAAAAAAATAAGGGATCACATGAAAGGACAAGTGTTCCTTTAGTATTAATTTTAGGTTTCTTCATAAGCTTTGTATCGCATAGCTTGTGAAGAAACCTGAAAAAATAACGGAACACTTGTGCTTTCATGTGATCCCTTATATTTTCCCTCAGAATATCTGATTTGTATTCTTTGTAATTTAACGATATCTCCATACCCTTGACAAATTGGCGAGGGCAATCCACTAATCAGGAAGTATAGTGGATCAGTGGCCAGGTACTTACATCAGCAGCAGTAGTTCTGCCTGGTGACAATATGAACAAACAAGTGTATATCACATGGGGTTTCTCCATGCCCACTGGCAGTAATCAGTCTTGGGTGATTGTTTCCCTTTAATTGTGGTCTCTAAGGATATACATGTACCGGTAATCGTATGCTTGGTGGAGGATTATGTCATGTTCGTGAATAGTTTACATGTATGTTATTTGAACAAAGATTTTCAAGGGTGGGATATTTTTCTTGCATATTTTTAATGTTTGTGTATAAGGGATTTGTGTGTGGTGGATGTGTGTTATTGAAGATTACTTTGATTGTGTATATGTCTGAACTGACTGTACTCTCTGTATTTGCATTCCAGAATTCTCAAAGTTGAATGAATTCTGAGGTGTTCATAAGATGTCAGCAATCAGTCATCCGGGTATAATCTTTTTATCTATAGCATGAGTTTCATGGTGGATGTTATGGGATGATGTTGCAGACATTAGATACCCCTGCTAGCTCTCCTCTAGGGTCCTGGTCCAACCCATGGCACTCCATCTCTACTTGGTAGACACTGAAACACAGGATGTCTCCATACACTAAATCAGATCTGCCATGAAATGTACAATTCTAGTTCATTTACTTGGTGCAAAAACAGTGTCTACCACACTATCTGTGTCAGCTAATTCATTCTGGTACTCCTCACCTACCAGGACCCTTCTACAATGGACTCTCGTCATATGACATTAAAATAAATATTGCTTCTCCAGTAATGTACTCATACATAGTACACAGATGACTATTTTATTTCAAACACCCTACTCAACACAAACCTGGTACTCCTCGGAGCTAGGAGGAAGCATGTGTGTTTGACTTGAATTGCTACTTACATGAGTCTCAATACCAGGAATTGAACCATGGAAGATGTAACAAGACTGATCCAGCACTTACAATATCTAAATATTTCAACGAGAGTCTACTGTATAATTAGATGGTGTTGGCTTTACAGAGATTTTGATTGTTTCTGTGTGACCTTCGAGTGTCCAATCCAATGTAATTACATGAAAGTATGTATCGGTGTATGTCTCAATTGTTGTATCTGATAGTTTAAACATCTAGTCATATCCAGCCATGTTGCAGCTGGTCTTGTCGTCACAACTGGTCTTGTCGTCACAGCTTGGTGACAACAAGGCAGCACAGAACTGACATGTAGCACCACGTGTACAATCAAATCTCTGATTCAGGATTGTCATTTTGCTAAGGGTTTTTATTATTTTCCTCAGCAAGTTTATGTTGTGTTTATAGACTAGAAAGATACATTTTGTTTTCCTCACAACAATGCTATGTACACTGATGGTGTACAGCACGTACACTGTCATATTCATAGTGGTGTGTTGGTGAATAGAAGAATAGGTGATCCTTTTTAAAGAAAGACTCAATTCTTGAAATATGTGTAAATCTCAATCCTACATGTTAGTAAAACATTCAGTGACATTCAACATACTGATAAGAGCAGAAACACGTGAAAAAGTGGAATATAAATATTTTTATTTTGTATCATGAGAGAATTGCTTTAAATATGTATTTTATTTCTGTGCATAGGTGTACCCTGTATCACCAGTGTAGTCAGTTGTACATTGCTCAATATTTCATGTCCTGTCAAGGATGAAGTCCTGACGTTCACTGAATAAGTCAGCTCTTTGTGTGTTCAGCCTGAACATTCATCCCAGTATTGGCATCTCCGAGAGGTCCCAGCATCTTCAGGGCAATGTTGTTTGCAATCCTGATGCATTTTCTATATACCTGTCAAGTCTGTCAGACCCTGACTCAAACATATTTAATTTCTGTATCTCAAAAAACATTAAAATAACATTTCTGAATGTGGTAGATGATCAGGCTTCACCACCATATAGTTCCGTCTCAATGTCATTTCATATACACAAGAAAGGAAGTTCCATTGAAGGATTTCTCCTGAATTGAAGTAAAAAGAGGAGACACTTAAAAAGTTGTCTGCTGACTGGTTCAACAACCCACACATTCTACACTGGGTGGTACAGAACACTCAGGTGTCACCTGACACAACCTCCACACATTCTACACTGGGTGGTACAGGTCACTCAGGTGTCACCTGACACAACCTCCACACATTCTACACTGGGTGGTACAGGTCACTCGGGTGTCACCTGACACAACCTCCACACATTCTACACTGGGTGGTACAGGTCACTCAGGTGTCACCTGACACAACCTCCACACATTCTACACGTAGAATGGGCTGTACAGGTCACTCGGGTGTCACCTGACACAACCTCCACACATTCTACACTGGGTGGTACAGGTCACTCAGGTGTCACCTGACACAACCTCCACACATTCTACATGTAGACTGGGTGGTACAGGTCACTCAGGTGTCACCTGACACAACCTCCACACATTCTACACTGGGTGGTACAGGTCACTCAGGTGTCACCTGACACAACCTCCACACATTCTACACTGGGTGGTACAGGTCACTCAGGTGTCACCTGACACAACCTCCACACATTCTACACTGGGTGGTACAGGTCACTCAGGTGTCACCTGACACAACCTCCAGTGTAGGTGTGCTCAGAGTTACTTGCAGATAGATATCACATCAGGGGAAAGATCTCATGATAAAGAGATTTGTGACGAATCCTCACTGGACCAGTTTCAGTCCTTAATTTTACAATACAAAAATATTCATTTCAATCATATATATGTTTCACATTCCTGTACCTAATATCAGTAATGGTGTGGATTTCACTCTGTCCAAACAAAACATAGAAGTCCGGTTCAGACAGATTCCACTGTACCTATCTACCAGTTGATTCTAACTCAGTTCCTCAGTATCACACATGACCCTCATTAAGATGTCTACACCTACCCTGAAAATAGTTCTCAGACCTTGGAAGTAGCCCCTTTATGTTACATCAAAGCCTGAGGTACTCTGTGTGTTTACTTCCAGCATGGACCATGAGGACTAAGTATACAAGGGATGTATGGTACATGACTGTTGTGAAAATGAAGGGCTGTCTGACAGTGGATGTATTCACTATCAAATTGGCTTCCAGAGCGTGACTGTCAATGTTTTACTATTACTGATAGGCCGATTTCGTATGAACTATGCAATATTGTTCTTTACACTGAAAGGCGGTGATTGATGTGATTTTAGCTTGATAAAGAATACCTCCATTAATCAATGTTAATCATCAATGCACATATTTATATTCATCTTTGGTGCCGGTATGAACTGATGTGCTATTTTTCTCTTAACTTTGAAAGTTGATTTTAGTTCACCTCAACCAAAGGTTCATGTCAACATGCATCATGACAACTCCTGTTTTGTCTTTGCATGTTACCATTTGGCATCTCTCCTTGAAAACATGGTCACCTGACAGCATCTAGGAAAGTGATCTTCCATCTCCCATGTATAGTATCTGTAAGAGATGACCACCGAAACTCAGCTTATATTAGAATTGGCCTCACAACAGCCATAGTGAAGGAAAACCAAGTTCTATGGATAGTCAACTTCTTTATTGCAATGAGTGCGACATTTCGGTGTAGGTACTAACACGTTATCAAGCAAGTGATCCATAGAACTTGGTTTTCCTTCATCTATACAACTTCTAAAATGCCTCTCAAAGAAGTTAACAGCCATATTGAAACCATTATGTTACTTCCATTCATTTATGTAAGTTATGTATTTTGAAACATGCTGCAAATTGGGTCCAGTGGAAAACTTCACCCTTGATCATGTTTATGTATTTCCATTCATTTTGTGACATCTCAAGGGAGACAACTGTGTTTTTGAAGTGGTAAGATTGTGTACATAATCTAAACAACAGTGCTATTCATATGTACTTACATTATTTCAATCCATTTTAAAACACAACAAATACCACTATTGCAGCCATATTGCATACTACACCAATGTTTACACTTGTATCAGTGTGTGATGTTATGTATGATGTATATGTGCAGGTGACAATTCAAGCCCACTATGTAGCCTTTGGGCTAAGTGCTGTGTAACAATAATGTATTTCTATACTATTTGGCTGATCTACTTAACTGTGTTTGTACAAAGTGTATGTGTGTGCGTATGCTACAGTCTGTAAATCCTGGGATGTTTTCATACTGGAATTTGAACTTCTTGCCTTCTCCTAGTGGTCAGACTGTGGCCACTCTAAGCAAGGAAATTAATGTAGAACTGAGATATCACAAAATCACTTTGTATCACTGGCTGCTTTCATAACCTGGATGTATATATGAGGATATAACTTATAATCATGAAGTGTCCTAAATATGCATAATGTGTTATGATGTATTTTCTGTTAAAGAGTGCTTGCGACTCTCTTGTAATAGTTGAAGGAAAGTAGGTTTTGTTTCAAGTTTGGTAAAAGAAATGGTAATTGGAAGCATGAAGATGTAATGGTACATGGATGGTGAACCACATTGGTATTCTGACTTTTGTTCCCAGAATAGTGCTCTCTATTATTGTTTGGTTTGTGACTTTTAAGTAAATTATCATATAAATCTACAATGTTGTGTTTGTTGTGTAATGTCTTTATGCTGGTGTTACAGTCATACCTGGTGTCTCCATATCTCGTAGTACAGTAGTACACCACCCAGGTGGAGCAGCAACATGCACTATTATACAATTACTGACTTCACTTGAGGTTGATCCATTGATTTATTGACCTTGGACAAGTGATATTCACCCAACATATTACTGATTGTCCTAGATAGTTTGAATCCATTCCAAACCAGACTTCTCTAGGTTGTTTGCAAAGTCTATCTGATGTATATCAGCCCAGAATTGAATTATCACTTATCAATTATTGTTATGAGACAATTTCTATGTTTGACACAAGACAGTAGGAAACATGAAAAATACAAATCCTTGTTTATAACCTATTTATGCACAGCTCTGTCATATAAGCATGCATCTTATATTCAGACCCACTACAACCACTGACATGTGGAATCTAGTCTGTGATAACGTAAATTTCCAAATTTAAAATATCCAGACTTTTGTCTTGTCCAGGCTATGTCCCATGAACATCAGGGGCGAGTGTGTGTTGAGCTATATGCACAGCCAATAACGTATAGTCTTATCTGTTCAAACACGACTGTGTTCAAATTTATAATGGCTATTGAGAGACACAAGTGGGTTCATTGTTCTGTAAGTCCATATAAACCTTCTCGATAGTGCTTCTGAAGTTTAATCTTTGTGATCGCACTTCAGGTTTATGATATATACCTGCACTAAAAGCCTGGAATAATGGACGTATACCTAAACGACGTGAGAGTTTTATTACCACGACACTCATGTACATTAACCAGTGGGTGTATAAACACGTGGCCATGACGTCAGCCGTGCTGTATACGTGGCGTGTCGTTCACGTCATCGGCCACTGTTTGTCAGGTGCAGACCCGAGTATTTACACACCACCGCCATACAGCTCAAATTACTGCCGATTGCGCAATACCACTAGAGCCAGGTGAGGCTCGATGACAGTACAAAAATTACTATTATCTCAGCGAAGAAGTTAAAACTCTCAGGCACTGTTAACACATATGATGCGAATTCGATGCTCTTTCAACATGCTTTACGTTTTGCACGAAGTGACCGAGATGTTTTAACAGCGTGTTTCACGGAGTATAAGTTATATTATGGAATATGGTGTGTCATCTCATTAGGCGGGTAAGCCATGAACGCAGGTACAACTTTTACAGACAAACAGTTGGTGACGAATCATGGAATCTAACCTACAACCATCAGACCAGCGTCTAATGGCGCAGCACTAATGGCGAGATGAGGTGCTTCAGAATATGTCCCACACATTCCTCCCGTTTCTGATTTGGACAAACAACATTTTACATACACGAATAAACCACGCAGAGAAACAGAACAATGTGGAAGCCGCTATGGCGGAGTGGGCTAGATGGCTGACTTTGTTTGCTGGCGATTAGGTGTCTTACTCTGTGAGTGTGGGATGCCAGATGGACCGACTCAACCCAGGAAAGTACTAGAATCTCTACTTTACTGAGAAAGACCGCCTCCGTGGTGTACTGGTTAGAGTGTCTGCCCGGAGAGCAGAAGGTCACGGGTTCGATCCCCGACCGCGTCATACCAAAAGGCGTTGAAATATGGTACTTGCTGGTCCCTGCCTGGCGCTCGGCATTAATTGGTAAAACAAGGAAGGTCGGCTCGAAGTCAGTATAATGTGTCTGAGTGGGGTATTCATGCTTCACTGCGGTATGGTATCCCAGTGAGCTAGCACTATAAAACCAGCATAAGTCTGGGCTAGTACAAGCAGGAAACACATACACACACGCATGCACGTCGTCATAATGAGCGAAATAATAATATTCTTTATTCCTCCATAGGAGAGTACAATAACACGGACAGGCAGAAAAAGTACATTAAGTAAGAGAGGTATTTAAAAAGAAGAATACATTAGAGTTATTGGAGCAGCACTGGATTAGATGAGTTTGGTATTAAGTCACTTTACGATAAGGTAAATCTGGTGTATTTACACAGTCTATACAATCCTTGAACGACCAGAGAAGAGTAGATGGTGTTGTCTGTGTCATCCAAAGGGACACATGGAGTGCATGATAGAAGACAGCATACCACACCCTCGTCAGGTTGGTTGAGCAGGTTCACTCCCAGCTCTATTGGACCAATGCTTGAGATTTCAAGCCACAGTTTATCTAGTTCACTCATCTTATCTGTACAGTGACAGATGGTATGGATGAGTAGGTCTTTGAAGTGTGACTGACACAGCTCACATATGCCTTGTGCACCTCCTGGGCGCCATGATGCACATAGCTTGACCACAAATTTGCATTGCTGTTTAAGATGTGGGATATGTCGGGCAATGAACCAGGCTCTGTGTGGGGCCAGCACAGGATGGATTTTCAAGAAATGTCTCATTTCAGGGTCGGCGTCGACACGTTGGTGCCATGCTACAGTTTCAACATCAGAGATTGCCTTCTTGACAATCTGCTTCCATCGTGTGTATTGGCAGAGACGTCCAGAGTAATAGATATATTTCAGATAGTCACACAAGTTATACTTCGTTAGGATACGAAGTATGTCTGAGATGAATCCTCCTGGGTCAACCACACAGTTGTTTCTCAAGGCATAGATTCGTGTCATAAGTAGCTTGTAGCTTGTAGCTTGCAGCTTGTATTCCTGGAGGAGGTGTGGCACAGTCTCCCAAAGAACAAGAGTTTGCTTTTGTTGATGTGGGCTTCTATGGGCAACCATCCTAGCAGAGCATTACACACGTCAGTCCTGGTTGTTTTGGGGAGATATTGAATCGCTTTAATGCAGAAACGTTGTGCTCTTTCAAGGGCCAATATTTCACTTTTGGTGAGGCAGGACCAGTTCGCATCCGTAACACGCTTTTGGAAGACAGATTGTTTGCAATATTTTAGAGCTAGTGATAGGGGTCAGGGCGTCACCATAGCAACCAGACTTTTGCACAGACATCATTGCGGCTTTCAGTTTGGAGCAGGCTTTGATTGAGCGATCCCACGAGTTGAAGTTCTTGTGGAGTTGAGCGATCCCACGAGTTGAAGTTCTTTCTTGTCCGTGAAGGTAAGAGCGCCACTCTGTTGTACCTCATCTTCTAGTCCTCTGTTTTGGTTTTACGGTTTTAGCAATATTCCAGCAACATCACGGCGGGGGACACCAAAAATGGGCTTCACACATCGTACCCGTGTGGGGATTCGAACCCGGGTCTTCGGCGTGACGAGCCAACGCTTTAACCAATAGGCTACCCCACCGCCCCAGTCCTCACAAATGTGTACCAGATCTTGTAGGTTGGATGTGAGCGGACTCAAGAGAGTGATGTTGGTCAGCTTGCGTTGGAAAAAGTGACGTGGAGGTCCAAGACTAGTGCACTTTTGCCAGAAGCTGACAATTTACATAGCAGTTCATTGATGAAGACAAGATATAGTCTTCATCAAGACAGGTGTTCGAGAAGCACTTTCACAGACAAAGTTATTTGTTCATTAACCTGTGCTGTGCCGTCTCCATCCGTTCTCGAACACCTGGCTGCCCCTTTCTCTGCACTCCTCCCTCGTAACAAATAATGAACTGTGTCAATATTTTAATGATAGATTGTTAAACAACTTTCCTTTTTTTTTAGGACAAAAATTCTGCAAAAACCTCATAGAGTTGGTATGATGTTTTGATTATGATCAGCGTTTCATTGAGTATTTTATGTTTATTAGTTTTCGAGTTTGATTGCAATTCATCGGTCCGCTTTTGGGCCAAACGGACTGTACCTACAAACCCGATGACGTCAGCAGGAATTAGGATGTGGTCAATAAAGGATTCGGGACCCCCGTCATAGGCTTGAAATGTGGAGACCCAGCACAAAAGGCTTCCATGTTTACTGACAGCAGTGACTATTCGTTCAGAAATGATCTCAAAGCCTTGCACCTCTTATCATTGGTAAATGAAGATCTAGGACCCTCTATTTTTGCATTGAAGTCACCAAGGAATATCACAGTTCCCTTCTGTGAGTAAGTCATGAACAGCTGAGCTAAGATCTGGATTCTAAATATACTGCTCGTTTTTTGACCATGATACGTCCTGTGATTTCACATTTTACGAGGGGTGGCTGAAAGTTCTAAGCGTTTTGACGAAGGATGGAATATACCCCATTAACAATTTGGGTGCATTAAGCAGACAGGCTGCAGTGAACACAAAACACAACCAGACGACATTTTTTCCAGGTGCTGTAGCTAGCTAGGTTCCAAGACTTCCAGGTTGTGAGAATACATTTAAGAAGACCCAGTATATTTTGATCACCAAAAGCAGTGAAGACGTCTGTCCCGTCAGTTGACAAGGTGATGTTTCGGTTTGTGGGATTCCAAAGGAACCCTTCTTGCTGACTACCTCCAAAATGGCTAGACCATCCATGGCCAATAGTACATGTTACACTGGTTTAGCAACTGTGTGAGAATGAAGAACGAACAGTTATGCAACTGATGGGACTAGTACACTTTAAGGGGGTAGTCATCTCCAAAAGGGCGATCTAGGCACCCAGCTTTATTGGCAGAAGAACGTCTATCTGAGGAAGGGGCTATGTTGAAATATATTCAGCCTCTAACGCCATTAATGCAGTCCTTCATAGACTTTTCTGTCGGCCCTTGTCTGTACTCGAACATTTCTCCTTCATTAATTATTTTTCTCCATTAATATACGTGAGGAGCCATTGCCAGAAGACAGCATGTGAACGAATTCTCCATATACCACGGGGTGAGATGTATTGACTTTGTACCTGATGTTAATACAGACATGGTTGATGGATTCTGCCTAACTGTAGATGGGCAGCTAATATAGTTACTAAAACTGGTGGCAGGGAATGTTACAGTGTACATTAAGAATTAACTTAAAGGGCGATACATATTCTGAACACGTGAAGGTCCGGGTTAGAATGAACCTTCAGTAACCCATGCTTGTCATAACAGGCGACTAACGGGATCGGGTGGTCAGGCTCGCTGACTTGGTTGACACATGTCATCGGTTCCCATTTGCGCAGATCGATGCTCATGCTGTTGGTCACTGGATTGTCTGGTCCAGACTCGATTATTTACAGACCGCAGCCATATAGTTGGAATATTACTGAGTGTGGCGTAAAACTAAACTCACTCACTCACATATTCTGATGTAAATGCCTTGGCGAATGAAATCCGTCATTAAGTATGTAAACCGACATATCGATAGGCGACTGCCGCAATCGGAAGGCCAGACTTGCTAACGTGACTGATGCATGTCGCCTGAAACTAGCAGTACATGAGTGAATGTTGCTTAAAGCCGCATCAGCGATTGTGCAGCTATTCGCGGCCACCTGAAACTAAAACGTGAAGATCAATATTTATGTAGTCACTTGATTGTCTGGTCCACACTCTATTATTGACAGAGCACCGTAGTCACCGTAGTTATATGTTAGTTTAAATTATAAAAAACCGAGATTTAATTGAAATTACAAGTCTCATGTTTATTAATTTCACAATCAGTATTTGGAGTATGTATGGACGAAATGCGCGACTCTCTATGAAGATGGGTATAGTTGTTTCTTGCCACTGGTGATATATTTAGATAAGTATCGACAATAACTGCGTGGGCTGTAGGGAGCGGTACATCTCTGATTCCATGTCGTCAGATCTGGTGCCGCTCAACACGCGGCCTACCCGCGTGGCCATGGTTACCGAAACACTCTAACGTCACAGGGGCACATTTGCAATTCTGAAGCATTCAGCGAACTATGTCTTCTGTCACAGAACAATCCATTCTTAGCTGCAAGTGGTTCTTTCGATTTCCCAATGCATATCCTTTGAAATAACACTAAATATTCAGACTCGAATAACACACGTCGCTCACGGTAACTGCCGCATATGTTCCTTGCAAAAGATTGCTACAAAGGGAGATAACCCTATCACGGTCGAGTTGTTTTCTCATTCGTTGCTCCCCTGGGCTCTCTGAAGTCGTTTGGTTTGTGTTTTGGTTAACTCAGTCTAGTGCGGTGTCGTCTGTCGGCAACTAGCTCCGTAAGCGATAGGCAACTTTTATTTACATGGACAACAGTTTACTCGTATAAGTAAACAAGATCAACCAGAAGGTAAGATACTTTATACAAGACGATTTGATCTAAACCAGATTATTTCTATCAAGTAAGTAAACCAATGGATCATATTGTACTTTTACTTATCACACGTATCATCATGAAATGTTGCGGATATTTTTAAGTCAGGGGAATCGTTTTGTGGACTCCCATAGTGACTTACGTTGTCAACAATATGAGCGACTGTCATGCTCCTTCATAGGCCAGTTGTTGAAGTTTTCGCCCAGGTACGAAGGCGTCTTAATGGGGATCGGGGTTCGACTCTCCACATGGGTACAAAGGCGGGAACCTATTTATAGTGTACTTCGTCGATACTTCAGGAATATTGCTAAAATCAGCGTAAAGCCCTACTCGCTCTCCCTCTTGCATCACCTGTGCGTGTATGAATCATCGCAGATAGTGAACGGAGGGTAGCGGTTCCATACCAGGCCGCGTCAGCTTTTTCATCAGGTGTGTGTGTGTGTGTGTGCGTGCGTGCGCGCACGTTGCGTGTGTGTGTGTGGGTCGACAAAGAAACGAAGACGCAGCTTTTTAGTGCGTGTTGTGGGTGTGTTGGGGTTGGGTGGGTGCACACTATTGAGAAGGTGTGTGTGTGTGTGTGTGTGTGTGTGTGTTGCACACTTCATTTTCACCCGAGTTTCAATGGTCATTGAACAAACTTTCAGGACAAAAGGGGGGAGGTGCGCAACCCTGCACCCCCTACCCCTCTGGATCCACCTATGCGCGTCTTAACCAACAGACGTTAAAAGATGGTACTTGTTCCTTCCCTGCCCGCTAGCTTGGTGTCGAGGTGATATTTGTACTGATCTGGGTATACTGTCTGACTTGAGGATCCATGTTAAACTGTGGCAAGGTGTCTCGGCGGGATAGAACGATAAAGACGGTATTACACCGGGCTATGATAACACAAGGAGTCTTTCTCACTCACTCACTCACTCTCACGCACACACACACACACAGAAAAAAGAAGCTATATTCATGTATTATTTTAAACCGTCGTCAAGGACCATTTCACCTTGCGTCACAAATTAACAAAACTCTGAGTAGTACGCATGTCGGTAATGGACATCATCCCGTTTGTGGTCGTCCTTGTGCACGTAGATACGGCCATCAAGTGTTAGCAATAGTGTTGCGTTCCCCGAACATCGCTGTGTTGCGCTGAACGAGCATTAAGCGCGACTGTTTGCAGGTGTCAAGATAATTAAAGTTCGTGAACATGATTGTTGAAAATCAATTCGGTAATCACTAGAAATGAAGACCTCTGACTAGGGCCACGCAGACATGTACACGTGACACAGAGACAGACACACACGATCACACGCACCTGTCTCTGCACACAGGTCCCAATCACGAACCAGATCTATAGGCTTCCTTTCAACGACTTCAAATATACAGATAAAATCTGGCGAAGACGTGTTGACACAGAATTAAGAGGGAAATTGATTTGTGTGACAGGTATGTTTACAACAAAGCTTGGCGAAAAGGGTATTCATTGTGTAGCTGAGGAGCTTCTTTAAACACACGGAGGTGGGGTAGCCCAGTGGCAACAGCGTTCGCTCGTCACGCCGAAGACCTGAGTACAATGATTGAAGCCCGTTTCTGGTGATATTGTTGGAATATTGCTAAAAGCAGGAAAACTAAACTCACTCACTCTTGGATTACAGACGAATTTTCCTTAACATGTGTTCTCTCAATACACTATTCAAGAATTATTTTGAACCCCTCAATAACATACATTGTGTGCGCCACACGTAATGTTAAGCACTTGATAATATACATTTCCAGTTACTCTTCAGTTACTCTTAACTGGTGCTAAGTCGCTAACAACTCTCTTTATAGGATAGGGGTGGGAAGGGAATCGGTAGGTCAGAGGGAATCAGAGGAGGGTCAGCATCGGGGGTGGGGGTGGGGTGTCTGTTTGGGGTCGTAAATATAATAGACATATATGTGGAGGGTCATGAAATAAAAGAGCATTTTCTAATAAACATAAAGTGCTTCTTCAGTTTGTCTGTTTATGTCTTTCCATACCTTCGTGTAGAGGGACATGGAACATCCAGGGTAATGACAAGCATTAGGGGAGAGTGTTTATGATCAGAACGCTTGTTCATCAAAAGGCTCGGAGCCACACATCTCCTGCAACACGAGGTATATATTTGATAGGCACTTTTAAAGAAACACCTGACCCTTTTAATATTACAACTGATCAAGAATGATATATCTGCAATGTTTCGCTGTAGCATGAATGTAATACATTTAAATGCTGTGAACTGTAGGATCGTCTTCTCACGTTGTCGTTTCTGCCAGATATATCGGCGGATCCTATTTCGTGCACGTGCTGCAACAGTTTTCAACAGTACAGAAATATGTAACTATGACATATGTTGTCAAAATGTTGACACAGTAATACGTGACGGAGGCTTCTCGTATATTCCCAACATGCCGTGCGACAATAGAGGCTTGTAAATCTACACTGTGCAGTGTATACAATAATCTGTACTCATTCTTAAGCGTAACGATATAACAATGGGAAAATAAAATACATGTAAGATCTTTTGATCTACTTAGCTCCGATGCAGGCTTGTCACCCCCCACCAAGGTCTGTAGTAGCAATTAATCCTACTTGTGTGTTAGCTCATTAACCTGCATTGTACTGGACGAAGCTGTCTCAGTGTGAAGCACAGCCTGTGATTAGGGCCGAGTGTCGGGGATTCCAACATTCACCACTATACCACTCGGGAAGTTACACCCATCAGGGCCACACAAGACAAGGTAATGTGATCAAGCTACGAATAGGAATGCTCATTTGTTATGGGAATACTAACACACTTGTATTTATGAGTCAAGGTGACATGACTACGCCCACACTGTTAGGGGCACGCGTAAAGCTCCACTGGTGTCTGGGTCAATACTACATCTATTACACATATACATACCGCTAATGAAGTGAGACCACGGTGCATACGTAGTTCTGGTTGTGTCTCCACCATGTGATGACACATATGTTAGGCGATAACTTTGGCAGCGTTATTTACATTACATGATATTACGTGTAGCGTTTGTTCTTGTCAACAGTATATTGTCAGTAAAGTATTGAAAGTGTGTTGTTCTACACTAGAGAACTCTTAGCATTGGGACTTTGGTATTGTCAGTACAATATTCTAACTATAGTACCTGATCATATAAGGTATTGTTTGTGTGTTGTTATTGACTATAGTTTTGTTTGTGCATTGGCCATGTCTATTCAGGGACCAACATGACACATGTTTGGTGGTCACGGAGATTCCTATGTTCATGCCTCCATGTTATCAGCGATTAGAAACACAATGTAGAGACATATTTACTCAGATTATCCACAGATTCCACCGGGCGTAAAACGATGACGAGTAAATGAATGAATCAGAAATCAGTGATGACACCAGGCGATCGCGAACAGTGTTAACGTCATCAGGTCGTATACAAAGAGCAGCCACATACGAGTGACAATTGTCTCTTACACTAATGCACCATAACCGTTTAATATATAGAGTAGGACACATTCATGCTATTCATTTACTTGGACAGGTAAGAGAGCAGGGAGGACCAGTATCTATGTGACGTCATGTCACGAGGGGGTGGGGCGGTAGTCACCTTTGTGACGAGACGATATCGGGTATAATGCACTTTGTATACAACTCGCAACTCGGCTTCTAGATGTTACTGTGCACAATGGCAACTATGTGTATAATGGTCTATTAAGGGAGTTGCTTGGGACGCATGTTATAACAGTCATGTAGTATGGGTAAATAAATACATGGGGTCTTGTTGCATGATCCCCTGGTCTGTATAGGTAGTCGCCATCAAGGTATTGTACATGTACTTTTAGCATTATATGTCAGATATATGTCATATAGCAAACATCCTTTTGATTTGGATGTTGTTCCGTAGTTTAGGATCAGCTTCAGCAAAACACCGTTTATCAAACGATTTTATAACTAGTGTATGGAACGTTCGATAGGTTTTGATCTTCAGGCCATATTGATCTGGTAGACCCCATACAACCTTTGATGTGAGACGTATGACGTATGCAAAGCTTGTAATGTAAGCCAGTGTGTTTGAACCAATGTCCCTGTGGACAGACAACCATGTCCTGCGCGAGATCTACAACAGCATGACGTCTTCATGCTATGTTTTCAACATCTCCTATATAACAGAAAGGTAGATGGTGTGTGTGACCGTTCCCTGATGGACACCCAAAAAGTAATTCCGCGAGAGGAAACAGTGGGGCACCATAGTCTGTAGTTTCAAATGCTGTTATCACTTTGCATGAAGCGCATGTCCGTTGCTGTTAACGATTGTGATGTTACGGCTCCACCAACGTAGACACGTATATTACTTCAAACCGTGGCCGATAGCTCCTCTATGTCGAGCTGACTCTTCCTCGACAGTCGCATGGTTACTACTTAATGGCGGGGGACTGAAGGGACGGAACCTTGGTAGCTGAACCCTTTCTACAACCGTACACATCTCTTTTTACTGCAGCCATTGTACGATTCCAACTTATCATTAGCATGTTTATGCAGTATTATCATATAGTGATAACGCCAGGTGTTCGCGATTGCCTGGACCATCCAGATGGATATACTGACTGGAGGACATGACTTGGATTCGTTCAATGGTTGCTTTGCCTCTGATTGTTTCAAAGACTAAAGATGTTGAGTTTGGTCTCAGTAGGGCTGAACCCAGTTGTACCATGTCGGACTGGCATAAGCTTCATCGATCTTCCATTTCCGTTTTCCGCCTCGTGGTTACAAGGACACCTACTGTTAACAGCATTGCTATGATTATGACGTCAGATGCCAAAAGATTATGTTCAGGCTATTTCGAGATTATATCCACCTCACCTAGTTGGGTCAGATGTTGAGCAAGATCACCCTGTGGGACGAGAACGAGGACAATATATGAACGTTTCATGATCCATGTGGCCTAGTTCAGATTGTATATTGTTTACCCAACTGTAA